TCAGAAAAGAGAAGACTGAGGGGGGACATGATAGCCGTTTTTAGGTATTTAAAAGGGTGTCATAAGGAGGCGGGAGAAAACTTGTTCATCTTGGCCTCTGAGGATAGAACGAGAAGCAATGGGCTTAAACTGCAGCAAGGGAGGTTTAGGTTGGACATTAGGAAAAACTTCCTAACTGTTAGGGTGGTCAAACACTGGAATAAATTGCCCAGGGAGGTTGTGGAATCCCCTCTCTGGAGATATTTAAGGGTAGGTTAGATAAATGTCTATCAGGGATGGTCTAGACCGTATTTGGTCCTGCCATGAGGGCAGGGGACTGGACTCGATGACCTCTTGAGGTCCCTTCCAGTCCTAGTATTCTATGATTCTATGATCAGGAATGGTTTAGATGGTATTTGGTCCTGCTGTGAGGGCAGGGGACTGGAGTCGATGACCCCTCGAGGTCCCTTCGAGTTCTAGTGTTCTATGATTCTATGACTACTGTACAGTGGGTACACACAGTTCTCAGGGGAACATCTGGACTCATGCAGGTCAGAGGAAGGCAGGCATGATAAGTGGGCTGCCAGGTCAGGAGCCTGTATGCAGGAAGGGAGAAGGAGAGATTCCAGCTAAGCCAGAGAGGCTGGGTGATATCCAGCACACGTGGATTCATGGGACAGTGCTACTTTCCCAGACTGCAGGAGAGTGCAGGCAGGAGTGAGGGGGCGAGGCAAAGTGGCTTCTCTTTGGCACATTCTGAGTCTGGCACATACAGCTTCCTGAGACAGTGTTATTTTGCGAGCCTGCAGGTAGGAGATGGGAAACAAGGCAGAGTGGCTTCCCACTGGCACACGTTGAGTCCAGCACACATAGCTTCCCAGGACAGTGTTCCTTTCCCAGCCTACAGACTTAGGAGGACGAAGCAGGCTGGCTTCCCTCTGAATCTGGAACATGCTGAGTCTGCCATATGCAGCTTCCTGGGACAATGCTACCTTCCCAGCCTTCAGGAGGGGGAATGTATGTCCTGCTCATGTGACTTCACGGGGTCAGCTTCCCCTCCTCCTCCATCCAGGTTGCCATAAGAAAAATCAGTCTTCTCCATATCACACAGAGTAATTGGGAGAGGATGCTAACTGAGGGTATGTCTACACTACAAAGTTAGCAATGTCTACAATGTCTACACTACAGACGTTAGTTCGAATTAACTTTGATAGGAGCTACACTAGCGCTCCGCTAGTTCGAACTAGTTCGAGCCAGCCACCAGATGCCCCCTAGCCCTCCGCCTCTTCCCGGGACCAGGCTGGCAGCTCCCAGGAGCTTGCCCAGGACCGCAAGAGGCGGGCACCCGCCTGGTCCAGTGCAGACATCGTGGACCTCGTCCACGACCTCCGCACTAGGCACAGGAAAGTGGCCGTTTAGGGCAGGAGAGCTGCCAGCCTGGCCACCCAGGAGCAGGTCTGCATGAAAATCAAGGTGGTCCACTGAGACCCCTGACCCTGAGCTTAGAATGGCCATACTGGGTCAGACCAAAGGTCCATCTAGCCCAGTAGCCTGTCTGCCGACAGCGGCCAACCCTAGGGACCCTGGAGGGGATGGACCAAAGACAGTGACCAAGCCATTTGTCTCGTGCCATCGCTCTCCAGCCTTCCACAAACTTCGGGCAGGGACACCACCCCTACCCCCTGGCTAATACCACTCCATGGACCCAACCTCCATGACTTGATCTCACTTCTCTTTAAACTCTGTTCTAGTTCTAGCCTTCACAGCCTCCTGCAGCAAGGAGTTCCACAGGTTGACTATTTGCTTTGTGAAGAAAAACTTTCTGTTATTAGTTTGAAGCCTGCCACCCATTCCTTTCCTTTGGTGTCCTCTAGTCCTTCTATTATGAAAACTAATGAAGAACTTTTCCGTATGCACCCTCTCCACCCCACTCGTGCTTTTATAGACCTCTATCCTATCCCCCCTCCATCTCCTCTTTTCTAAGCTGAAAAGCCCCAGCCTCTTTAGCTTCTCTTCATATGGGACCTGTTCCGAACCCCTCATCATTGTAGTTGCCCTCCCCTCTCCCACCCTCTCTCTTCCCCTCTCCCCCCTCCTTTTCCCAGTCTCCCCCAGTTTTGTTCAATAAAGAGAGATTCTATTTTTGAACACAATTGTCCTTTATTTTGTACATCAGGAAGGGGGGCTAGGGATGGGTAGTGGAAGGAGGTGAAGGAGGAATGGGGCACGAGCCCCCAATGGGGAGGACTGGGCTGGCTCTGCGGGCTTCTGGGGGTGGAAGCGCTCCTGCAGCCCCCCAATTACCCCCTCTCCCCAGATGGCAGGCTGCAGCAAGTGCAGCCGGGCTGATGGCCGAGTGCTGTGATCTGCCCAGTGTGGGCGCTCCGGGCACTCCAAGCCAGGACTGCTTTGCAAGCAGGGCACCCCTGAGAACTGTCTGTCTGGGGTGGGGGTCGGGTCCCTTTAAGCACAGCCCTCGGGTAGCCTGAGACAGCAGCTCCACACTCTAAGTCCTACTCTGATGCCCTGCCGGCACTGCTTCCGGCCATCCTTAACCTCTGTCCAGGGTCCACTCAATGTGGACATGCTAGTTCGAATTAGCAAAACACTAATTCGAACTAGTTTTTAGGTCTAGCTGCGCTAATTCAAATTAGCTTAGTTCGAATTAACTAATTCGAAGTAAGTTAGTTCGAATTAGCGAGGTAGTGTAGACATACCCTGAATGTGGCCATAAACCTGGGCCTTTTGCTGCAGTACTTTGTGGTTCAATGCCACCAGAACACTTACTGGTAGCTTGGTGTAGGAAGGTGTCCTACTGTGGAGGACGCAATAAGTCTTGCCCCTCCAAAAATCTTGAGAGAAGTATCAAAGAGTTCCTATCTGAGAGCTTCATGGAGATGTGCAGGGAAGATTCCCACTCCATCTGCAGGCACATTAACAAGCTGTTTTTTTTCTCTCCCCCTCCTTCCTCCCCCTGCCACCCTCGCTTCCATGCTGTGTAGTCACAGAGCACACCGTGTCACACCCAATTGCTTTCACCTGCTTGTAGTAAAAAAAAAATTGCAAGCTTACCCAAGTGCCTTCCCTGGGGTTGGTGATCAACTGGGAAACATCCTGGGAGGAGGGGACTGGATCCAGCATGATGAAAAGTTCTTGGGTCTTACCGATCACCAGCTGGCCATACTCCTCCTCCTCCCCCTCTTCCACCAGGCTGTCCTCCACGCTGATGCCATGGACTAGAGAGTCAGGCTTAGGAAGCTGGTATCCCCCCGAGAATCCAGGTGCTCATAGAACCGGCATGCGTGTGGTGCTGCACCAGGCCATCTGTTTGCCTCCTTTGCCCTGTGGTAGGAATATCTCAGCTCCTTGATTTTGACTCAGACTACTAGGTGTCCCTGGAATATCCTTTGGCAACCAGGCAGCTTCCAATCTTCATGTAAATCTTCCGCGTTTGATCTGCAGTTCGGCGCTCAGAGAGAATGGATTCCTCTCTCCATGCCTCGCTAAGGTCGAAGATCTCCTGGACACTCCATGCTGGTGCTCTTCTGCACCCATGGGACTTGAATATTTGAAATCATTGAAGTAGAATTGTTAGAAGTAGAAGTCATGGCCATGTATGTCGCAGTGTGGTGTGCTGCTTGCTCTAAGAGATGTCCTTGCAATGCTGGCCACACAGGAAATGAAGTTCAAACTTTCCCAGGGCTTTTTCTGTTTAGCTAGAGAACAATAGAGGTGTAAGACTGTGGCGCTATGAGATGCCTCCTAGGGGCCAATGCTGCATCTACACTATTGTAAACATGACCACAAGTATCAGAGGGGTAGCCGTGTTAGTCTGAATCTGCAAAAGCGGCGAGGAATCCTGTGGCACCTTATAGACTAACTGAAGTGTTGGAGCATAAGCTTTCATGGGCAAAGACCCACTTCATCAGATGCATGACCAGGCAAGGTCAGGAATAGCATTACTCCTTGTGAAATCAGGAACAACCAACATTGTCTTCAGCAGCCCATAAGGTTGATGAGGCAGACTTGGAAATGTGAATGCATTGTTTAGAAAATCAGTCATGTGCAGCTAAATTTGGTGTAAACTCTGAGTGGACACCAGGCCTAAGTTGAAATAGTTCAATCTTCTTACTTATCCTCATACTTAGCTTAGATACCTAGCAGGAATTTTATATTATTTGAGTCCTAAGCATACATTACAACTCATTAGTCATTTAAAGAACTGGTTTAAGATGTAAATTCAGTTTTGGCACTTCTGTAGTATTTATGACCATTTTTAATATGAGATTCTGTTCCCTAATTCAGCTCTAGAGACTGTAAATGTGTTCCTTTGGACAACACATGTTATGTTTAATCTAAAAACTCATGCAATCATCACTTTTTTTGATAGGTGAATGGAAAGTGTTCCTGTTTATATTACCAGCAAAAGAAATGTCTGCAGCTGATCAGTTGTATTCGCTACGTCTACATTGGCAAGATTTTGTGCAAATACTTTTAATGCAAGAGTTTTTGCATTAAAGTATTTGCGCAAGAGAGCATCTACACTGGTATGTGCTTTTGCGCAAGAGATGTGCTTTTGTGCAAAAGCATCCGTGCCAGTGTAGACGCTCTCTTGCGCAAGAAAGCTCCGATGGCCATTTTAGCCATCGGGCTTTCTTGCGCAAGAAATTCATGTTGCCTGTCTACACTGGCCTATGGCGCAAGAACACTTGCGCAAGAGGGCTTATTCCTGAGCGGGAGCGTCATAGTTCTTACGCAAGAAGCACTGATTTCTTACATTAGAACGTCAGTGTTCTTGCGCAAGAACTCGCGGCCAGTGTAGACAGTGAAATCTTGCTGATGTCGACACAGCCCTGGAGTATAATTCAGGGAAAGACATGCATGACTGCAGAACAGCAGGGTTATACTGCATCTGTGGTCACACCTGGATAACCTGACTTTCCCACAGTCACCCCGTGGTGAAATAGCATTTTTTTAAACCAAACCCTAATAACTACCATATTCTTAGAGTCATTGTGAACTTCAAGTTTAATTTTTATCAAAACAAAATAATTTAAGAATATAAAGGAACAGATTTTTTAAAAATATACAAATAAGTCGGTTGTATCATTCTTATCAACATTCAACAAACAATATTTTAGGTAGCATACCTTGCATATTCATCAAAAATATGCAATTATATTTTGCAACTTTCAGGGCCTTCCAGTCCTCCAGTGTTCATACCTTTCATGCTTCTTAACTTCCCAAACAGGAACTTCATACACATATTTGCTAGTCTTTAGAATATGCCTTCCCAGCTTAATACACTATTTAACCATCTCATGTCCTTGTTCCATACATAAAAATCCCATTGAAATTAAGAGCAGTTTTGCATAAAACTTATTTACAGACTGGGGCCCCAATATCCACTGGCCTCTGACCTGTAAGCTTAATGGGCATAATTCTGGTTCTATTTACACTCCTGTCAAACAGGAAATAATTCCTCTAAAGTGTATGGAGTTAACACTTGTATTATAAAACCAGCGTATGACAAGTGAGATCAGGATAAGTCCCAGGGTTTCACAAAAGTCAAGGGGGAAGATAGCTAATTGTGCATTTTTATTAAAGCAAGACTTCCATTCTTCCATGCTGTCATGATCCCAAGCCCTATAGCAATCCTACTGAAATGCCTTTGCCCTGCAGAAGAAGAAACAAATCCTGCTTTACCCATTAACCTTTTTCAACATAAAATCATTATCACGTATAATCAGAAATCAGTATAACACTCTAATCATGATATCAATTTCCCTAACAGTAAAAATATATAGCAACATAATTTGATGCTAAATAGAAAACTCTGCAGGGCAAATTGAAACTATGGTCACTTTCATAATACATATGAGTGTAAAGGGATAACATAGAACTTAGCATTTAGTTCCATTTATGTGTATCCACAGAAGGATTGTCATTCTGGTACTTTTCATTTCTTCTTACAATATGCATATGTTTCTCTAACATACCGTGACATAGATAGTACACTAAACCTTTTTATAACTAGGACCAATACAGGCTTACTTGTGCATGATTGCATGATTACTCTATCCTTTAAAGTTCATGCAATTATGAATAGCACATGTAAGTTAATTCACTCTGTATATTAGTTCAAATTATACAAAACTCATAGCAAACGTAAATATAAAATTGGACTGCAGTACAGCAGTGAAATGATTTAAAACTTTCTCTGTCAACTTTAACTTCCAGTGAATGGTAAGTGTGTCTGAAATTTTACTGACTGGAAATGTTTTCGTGTAAACAAAGTAAATTTTGGGTTGCAAAGCAGAAGTTGATTTACATGACAATAGTGCTACAGATGCCCTGATGCCAAACCCTAGAAAAAAAGCCATGTCATGTCAACTTTTACTTATTAGAGATTTAGAGAGAAAGGCAAAAGGTTTCACTTGGGTTAAACTTCAGAACAAAATAGAACAAAACACTCCAAGGTAACTTGCTTTTAGAGCACAATCCAAAAAACAAAATCAGAGAAAGTCTCTGAGATAAAAATTTCAGTACAAAGAAACATTGACGTTACCTGTTTACACTACAATTTCTCCAAGTAGAGCTAAAAGAATATATTTTTTTGTAGATTTCAGCAGAAAAGGCACAAAACACAAAGCAGGACATGCTTGTGTCACTTTCTCACAAAGAAGCATTGACCATTGTGCAACATGGAAAAAGTCAGTATTTGTGTGACATCTCACAATATCATAGATATCATAGATAGCTTCTTTTCAATGTACATACATTACTTCCAGTAAAGCTGGAAATAACTACTGAAGAGGGGAGCACAGGGATGAAGATATACCCATGGTTTGTTGCAATCTACACCTCAATTTATGCATTAAAGAGTCTGATTGATGTTTTATCATTATTGGTAAATAAAAACACTACAGTGTCTTTATAATGTAGTCTCTGGGTGCTAGAGACTCTAGGTGTTAAATGGAATTAATGAGGTTTACTGGAGTTGGGGCACCTTGTACATTTAAATATGTATTTTAACTGCTTCCTTGCACCATTCAAAAGTATTAAAATCTGTAAAAGAAGCCTGAGTCCTTGCAAAGAAGAACCGTTGCTCTTAGAAGAGAGCTTTGCCTATACTATGCAAGAATGGCTATTCTGATGTTAAGGTGCTTCAGAAAGGCAGATCAGTGATCTGCAATTTCCATGGCATTTGTCTCCATAATGTACCATCATACACCCATCTGGTGTGTCACAGTGTTCTGTTTGTTATATTTCTATAACTAGCCTGTCTTCATCATCACTGCTTGTGTCATCATATTCCACTCGAGTTTGTTTCCTCATCCTCTCTAAACCTCTTTTTTTGTATGTTCTAGAAGGTGTTTCGGAGCTAGCTGTGGACTCTGTGGGACTTGAGGGAAATGAGGGCTCTTTAAAAGTATTAGTGCCAGTTTCGTTAAGTTTTCCTTGGCCATCTGATTGCAAGTATGCTCCATTCTTGTTCACACATTCATGAGGATCATGAGAAGTGTTCATCCCCTGTATATTAGCTGTGCTAGGTAAGCTAGTGCTTGTGATTGATGTCTGGGGAAGAGTGTTCACCTTTGATCCCAATGAAGCTGAACACACAGTTTTGGAACTGGGAATAAGTTTCCCCTTCAGAGATGAGTATGAATTTCCTTCCATTGGATGTTCCTCCTTTCCTGAGGTCTGGACCAGTGGGTATGCTGCAGCAAAACTTTGACTTTGTGACTCTACATTGAGTATATTTTTGTGGTCTGCTTTTGGCCATACGAAAAAAGGAGCAGTAACCTCTGAACCCATACTAACATGCTGACAGCATGTACCTGTGCCTATAAAATCAAAAGGAAAAGACCAAAAAGAGGACTCCACAGGATCAGAATAAACATTTGGCTGTGGCTCCACTGGAAATGGTTTCTGAAGAGTGAGAGGTTGAGTCACTAAACAGCAGATGTCTAGGTCATTGTTGGTTTGTTCTGTGGCAGCTTTCGCTGGTGATGAACAGGAGTATGTTACCATAGGTAATCCCGGCATTGCACTGATGTTCTGAAGAGAGAGATTGCCTCTTGAGGGTTTGTAATTTGGTGTAGTAATATCCTGCAACATAAGGGGTAGGAGAAAATGAATTTCAATTTACATTAAAAATTTCAATTCAAAGCAGTTTAATCATTTGTAAAGAGAAGGAAAATAATAATTATGTTACCTATAGCTATATAATTATATAACTGTTTATATGTGGGGTATCAGCTGGGTTATACAGGCATAAATGTGGTCCTCCTTCTAGACTACTGCAATAGTATTTGTTTTTCTTTTTGTCATAACTACAAAACAACAGTATTCATCCCTCAGTGACTGCTAAACTCTGAGAAATAAGGCAAATTAGTTGTGCATTTCTTCACTGGTTGTTGGAGGGTGGGTGCGTGGGTGGATGGTGTGTCTGAGGTTTTTTTTTTCTTTCATAGCTAGGCCTTATGGCTAAAATTGGAGGGTTGCCAACTTTATGTGGTGTATGTTCTTTATGTTGACATACATTGCAAAAGAGTGTCCATAACTGAGGCTACATCTAGACTGGGCCTTTTGTAAGCAGAGAGTATGCTAATGAAGCGCTCATTAGCATTTGTCACTCTGTCATTTGCATATTCTCTGCTGAGGCTTTTTGTGCAAAAACAAGCAGTGTAGACAGGTCCATTTTGCACAAAAAAAACCTTTTGAGCAAGAACACTTACTCCTTAAAAAAAATGGTTTACAGGTTCTTACGCAAAAGGCTGCAGTCTAGACATAGCCTGAAGGATTAAGGAGCTAAAAATGTAAAGTTTATTCTATTATTTGTGAGCAGTATAGAAATACCAGGGAGGGTGTGCATCTGCTCCAGTTTGTTTGCTGAGGGGCATCTGAAGCGTTACATTCCTAAATATGAGAACTAATTTTCATAAATTACCAAAATGTAATTTATGGTAGTAATTTATACTTATATATTAATTCTCATAGAAGCTCTGAAAGTGAGAGCAATACCATTTTAAGTTATGATATTTTCACTACAAAAACATTCTAAATTAAGTGATTTAAAATGTTTTTGCAACCATGTTACCATCTTTATAGATTTTATGAAAACACAAAATATGAAAAGCAAACAAATGGGCAAAACTGAACTGCAGAAGCAGTCAAATAACAGGGTGAAATGAAGTTTTCTAAAATCAATGTAATCTTCTATGAAATACAGGTGAAACACCTACTTTTCCATCCAGTTTGCCTTTTTGCCTGAAGTTGCTTGAATGCTCAGCCAGTGAAAATATTCCTGAGTTATTTTTGTGATTCTTATCTTCTTTCTTATCATTATTCCCTTTGGATACTGGCTTGTCTGAAGTGGGGCAAGAAAACTCCCCCTGCTGAGGGTGATAATTATCTGTTGGGAAAGAAATTATTTAGAGAAATTTTTGAGGTTAAAATACAATGCGGCAGCAATTTTATCATAAACTTTTTTATATTTATGAACACACTTTGGCTTCTTACACTGCTGCATCAAATTAATTCTGAACATGAATTATCCTAATATAATTTGACCTCTGGATTCCTTGCAAACTGTTAGCCATAGCAGATGTGTTGAGCAGTTGCTATTTGTAATCTGCTATTCAGCCTGTGTGACTTTTAATGAATATTCTTTTGTGAATACTTTTCCCACCTTTCTTTTCAATTAATATTCTTGTGAGCAAAATTTTGATGCACATATCTTTATGAGGAGCAACTTAAAAAACTCATGAATACCACTGAAGCAAATTTGCAGTTCTGATTGCAATAGGTAATCTTAAATATTTTCCTTCAAAATTTGCTTACCTCTCGATCCTTCAATGTATCTTTATACAAAATTTTAAATTATAGAGGCATTGACGGGAGTAGTGCAGGAGAAAGTTAGGAGGAGATATGTTAATAAAAGCAAGGGGAAAAAGAAAAAGAAGTTAAGGAAGAAGTATTGATGAGATACAAGTCTGTAAGTCAAGGGATGGTGAGAAAGTATCTTAATTTTAAATTTCAGAATGGAAAAGTGACAGAATTAGAAGGACCTATTACAGTTAAGTTGCTTTGCCACATTACAGTGGCAAGTAGTATTTGCAGTGTTGTACTCTTGTTGGTCACAGGCTATAAGAAAGACAAGATAAATGAGGTAATATCCTTTACTGGATCAAATTCTGCTGGTCAAAGAGACAGGATTTCAAACATACACAAAGCTTTTCCTCAGGTTGTACTGGCAGAATGCATCATAAGAAACAGCTCAGCTCTTGTATATTACAACTATACCAGCTCATGCCTCTAAGGTTACTGGCATTAAGTAGCTAAACTAATTAGATACATAATGAAAATCAGGGAGAGGTTATGCAGATAGTCAAAAAAGGCAGCAAAAGAATCTATTCATTGGAATTATATGATAATTCTTATTTTATTGCTCTGCACACTTCTGATATATGCTAAATGCTGCTATATGCTGCTAAAAGCCGGTTCTCACCCAGCACCGTCTCTGCAGTGCCGGCTGCCCCCCAACCTCCTGTGCTTCTGCCTCTCTGAGACATCCTTACATTGTATTCCTGGCTCATTGTCAGATCTTGCTGAAGTCACTCCACCTTTCTGAAACACATCACTTTTTCCAACAGTGTAATGGTGATAATTATTTTTCACTACCTTACAAGAGTATTATAGGCCTAAATCTTAATATTTGCAAAGCACTTTGAGATGCCTTATGGAAGGTACTATAGAAGGGCAGTGTTATTTATTTGTTTGTTTATTTTCAAAGTCCTCTAGAAACTAATTTTAGTCTTAATGAAAGTTTCTGTTCTCTTGTTTTCATATGTTCTGCCTTTTTGATGCTTAGGAATGTGCCAAGGGCTTTTGAGTGTTTCACATCTGTTGATCAGGGCTGTTTTTAAAAAGGAACAAAACAATGTTTTAAAATATTTTACTGCAGATCACTCTGCTTAAATACCCACATGATCATATATCAACTTCATAAACTTCCCTGATTTCAGCACCATGGTCAACACTAATTTCCTATTACAAATGAGCCAAACACCTGCTTATCACAAATAGTGGCCTGGATTTTCAGCCCTGTGAGCTATAGTTAGATATGGTTTGGGCCTTAATGCAGAGCCCTGAACAAGATACCATCCAGGAAGGAAACACATAAGGCAGGATTCCTCCATGCCTCTTGTGCTGGAACTGTAGTCGGGGCAAGTCTTAGGCAAAAGTGTATGTGGGAAGATGTGGGCCTTACACCTTGTATGATTCATTTATAAGAAGAGATTCTTGGGTTCATGTCCTCTGGCTGGGGCAGGTTCAGGTCCGTCTGCCCCCTAAATTCCCCAGCCAGAAGGAGGAATGCAGCAATGGTGCACTTTCCCCTGGCTCCCTGATAAAGGGGAACAGCCAGCAATACTCTTATACTAATTGGGGAAACACCTGAGGGAGGAAGGCTCGGGGCTTGGGCAGTCTCAGATGGGGGAGTGGTGTCCTCAGCCAGCCTCTTTTACCTGCGTGGTGATTCTATCTCTTTTCTTTATGGTTTTCTGAGAAGCAATCCCTTTCCAGGCACATCCCATTTTCCTAGCATAACCTTGCTTTAAGTTGTGATAAGAGGAAGCTGTATACTGAATTTGGTGGTGCTAGCTCTTATCATTTAGGAAGCATTCTTGAACAGACAAACAGACAAATATTCTCTCAAATATATAGTAGATGGCATTTAACCCAAAATACAGAAGCTAATAAAACCCTTCAATCCATGCTTTTATTCATTTGAATAAGTACTACAAGATTAATTTTATTCTGCAATAGAATTATAAAATCTTTTTGCAGAAAAGCAGAAACATTCAAAAATACTTTACTGGAAAATATAACAGTAAATAAGCTATAAATGTGCGGTGTCGATAGCTAGACATGCTTATGGATCTAACAAAAGAATCAATGATTTTTTTCTGCCACATTTAAGTTGTACAGTTTTTCTGTCTCTTATCTGTAGATATATACAGTTTGTATTTTATTTAAGTTCTGCTAAGCCCAGATGTTGCAGGCAGTAGGGCTGGTGATTTAAGAGGTCCTACTCTTCTGAATCAACACTGAAGTTTTGAACCATGGCATTTCACAGTGTATTAAGAAACTGAATTATTAATTTTGTAAAGCACTTCAGATGAAGACTGTCTTAGAAAAGGGGTTCTCAAACTGTGGTTTGGGACTTCTCAGGGGGCTGTGAGATTACTGAGTAGGGGACAAGTTACGAGTTGTTAATCTCCACCCCAAAGCATGCTTAGAATTGTGTTAAATATATTAAAAGGAGTTAAATGCATACGGGCAGGTTGCACTCAGAGGGTATGTCTAGACTACAAGGAGGTTTACAGGATCTGTCGAAAAAGGCTTTCTTTCTCGACAGATCCTCCTCTAAACTGCTGCTTTTTGCCAAAAAAGAGCTGAGTCGGCAAAATGCGGTGGCCATTTTTATGCAAATTAGGCACGGGATAGTTAAATCCCTGCCTCATTTCCAAAGTTGACCTGCCTAATCTGCATCCCTCTGCTGACAGAGGGATGCAGTCTATACATACCCAGAGACTTATTATGTGAAAGGGGTCAACAGTGCAATTTGAGAGCCAGTGCCATAGAACACCACAATTAATGTTATGATCATTTATTAATCATAAATGCCTTTATTTCAGTATCCACAGTATAAAGTTGGCTATGATGTAAATATACATTTCTTATGCATTTGAGGATATCACTAATATTTGTGCAGTCCCCCCATGAAGGAACTGCAGACTACTTGGGCACTTCCATGAAGGATAGCTGGCCGTAGTGACTCAGAGATTATATCTGTGTTATCAGCTGTTCCAATCATCAGGAGATGAGTGGCAGCACAAGAAGACCCACAGGCTAAAATTGTACTCATTGTGGGGACACGGTGTTTTTTTTCTTTTTTCATAGGGCTTGCACTAGGCAAGCTTATTATAAAATAATACATTTTCCCAGTATCTAAAACTGCCAGTTTCTATTACAAATCATATGCAGATGGGGATTTTGAAAAGTTGGGCCCTGGTTTGCTTTAATGGTCAGAAGAACATCATTGCAAAGGGAGAAAATACAATTTTTCAGCCATATATGGAACATATTGTATCTCAGATAAATTGTTTAATATTAAATATCAACCAAAGAAAGACTATTACATGCTTGTAAATATGAACAGGCAAGTTAGCCTTACCTTGCAAATTTGATGCAGGAGAGTAGCTTTTTTCACACTGATTAAGGCTATCGCGTGAGTGGTACGGCAGGTGCTTTTTCAGAGTATCTAATGCCCTGTTTGGAAGCCAGTGTTGCTTGCTCAGCCTTTTAGTTTTCAACTGAGTGTATCCATGCACATGGTTCCCTTTGGACCTGCATTGGAAAATATAGCATTTTCAGTAAAAGTACAAACAAGTATGTTGCGAGTAGTTGCTATTTAAAAGTAGATGAGTAAGCTCACAATTTTCCTGAAATTCCATTTGGGTTGAAACTGACCTATACAAAATATGACAACAATGAAAAAGGGAAATGTTACTTTTATGCATGTCACAAAAGATCCTGTATTAAAAGAGCCTTAGTCAAAATGGGCGAAATCCTAAAAAGTTCATAGTTTTAGTGGAGTTGGTGGGAGCTTTGCCTGATAGCACTATGTAAAAATTGAGTAAAGACTTCAGAACGTGGTTCATCAAATGAAAAGAGCTCCCTACATTGCAGGAAACCCATAGATTTTGCAACTAGGCACGTTATCAAAACTAGGACTTGTTTGCCAATGGCCACTGGCTCAATTTCTTATGTGCTACTGTTTGGTTATCACTACTAAAGAACATAAATACTTCAAGGTTTAGATCAAAGAGTTTGAGTTCTCTGTTTTTTGCTATAAAGTGACAAGAGCTTATTAATTAAGTTTATATCAGAAATTATCTCCTTGGGGATGCTGATGAAGAAGTACTTGCTTATCTTCCAAAACATGACAGTACCTCACATCTGTGGGAGTCATAACATACATTCAAATGTATCTTAAAAAGTCACTAAGGCTTGGTCTACTACTGCAGTAAGTCAACCTAAGTTACGTTACTCCAGGTATATGAATAACATAGCTGGAATTGACATAGTTTAGGTCAACTTACTGCAGTGTCTACACTGCACTGTATTGATGAGAGATGCTCTCCCATACTTTACTCCTCTTGCTCCCAGTGGAGTACTGGAGTCAACCAGAGAGCACTCTGCCATCAATTTAGCAGATCTTCACTAAGGATTTGAATGGTTAACCAGTTACACAATAAGCATCACCCTTACTAGGTGCTCCAGCCCTGCGGGGCCCACCATGGGCGGGGGGCGGGGAAGCATTCCAGCCTGGCTAGAGTAGCCCTGCCTGTGGCAGGCCCAGCCACTGCACTATAGGTAGGAGTGCTCCTGCCCGACAGAAGCAGCCCCCATCCACAGCAAGCCCAGCCGGGCACGCCGCAGACCAGGCTGGAGAGCCCCAACCCACGATGGGCTCAACTCTCCAGCCCAGCCAGAGCAGACCCCATCCAAGGCAGGCCTGGCCCAGCACACTACGGGCAGGGGCTCTCCACCCTGGCCAGAGCAGCCCCCACGTGCAGCAGAGGAAGCTGCTCCAGCCCGCCCGCCCTCTCCCATTTAATCAGTTAACCAGTTAAACATAATGTTTAACCAGTTAACTGATTAACTGGGATTTTACATTCTTGGTCTTTACTAGACCTGCTAAATTGACATTCCCTCCTCCCCCCAGTGCATCTATTTTAGCAGCACCAATCCTGTGGTAATGTGGACATAGCGAAAGTCAGTGGGAGGTATAGTCTTAAAACACTTAGGAGTGTCTACATTGCAGTAAAACACCCACAGCTGGCCCATCTCAGATGACTCAGGCTCACAGGGCTACAACTGCCAAGCTATAAAACTTCAGTGTAAATGTTTGGGCTTAGGCTGGTGGAAGAGTCTCAAAGTCTGCCAGGGTACACCATCAAGAACAATGATAGAAATGTAGCCGTGTTAGTCTGGGGTAGCTGAAGCAAAATGCAGGACAATGTAGCACTTTAAAGACTAACAAGATGGTTTATTAGATGATGAGCTTTCGTGGGCCAGACCCACTTCCTCAGATCAAATAGTGGAAGAAAATAGTCACAACCATATATACCAAAGGATACAATTAAAAAAAATGAACACATATGAAAAGGACAAATCACATTGCAGAACAGGAGGAGGATGCAGGAGAGGGGGGAAAGGAAGGAAGGTAAGTGTCTGTGAATTGATGATATTAGAGGTGGGGAGAGTGGGATGTTTGTGAGTTAATGGTATTAGAGGTGATAATTGGGGAAGCTATCTTGATAATGGGTAAGATAGTTCAAGTGTTTGTTCAATCCTCTTTGGAGAGTGTCGAATTTTAACATGAATGACAGTTCAGAGGATTCCCTTTCAAGTGCAGATGTAAAAGGTCTTTGTAGCAGAACGCAGGTGGTTAAGTCATTGAGAGAGTGTCCTTTCTGGTTAAAATGGCAAGAAACTGTTTTTTCTTTGTGATCTTGTCTGATATCTGTTTTGTGGGCATTAATCCTTTGGCGAAGTGTCTGAGATGTTTGTCCAATGTACATAGCAGACGGACACTTTCGGCACATGATAGCATAGATTATATTTCTGGATGCGCAGGAATATGTGTTCTTGATCTTATAACTCACTTGGTTAGGTCCAATAATGGTATCAGCAGAATAAATATGTGGACAAAGCTGGCAACGGGGTTTGTTGCAAGGGAAGGTACCAGGGTTGGTAAGAACAAGACTTTATCAAGAACAAGACTTTATAAGTGCCAAGTCTGTATCCAGCCCCTGGATTTACATGGACATTTCTATGTTTAAAAACAAGCAGACACGCATGAATTTGTGTGCCTGCTTTGTCAGTTACCTCCCTAATTGTGCAATTAACACATTCAAACAACTAGCTGTCTAGTAAAATAATGACACATTTATTTTTTGAAAAATAAGTGTTCAGATTAAGAGATGAGAAAAAAAATGTCTGGCCCTAAAGTAGGGGGAGGATAAACTTTTTTGGGTCGGAGGCCACTGACCCACAGAAAAATCAGTCGGGGGCCACACACAAGTGTGAAGTGGGGAAAAACCCCTCCCTGTGGCCTCCAGCTGAGAAAGAGAAAGACACTCCCCACATTCCCCTCCCATACCAGCCTAGCCTAGGGGTAGATTTTGTGCACTCCAGCCCCCAGTGGAGCAGAAGGGGGGCTGGAGTACTAGTGTGGGCTCCCCAATACTTGAGGGGTCCCTGAGCCTCGGGGGCCGGATCCAGGCAAGCCAAGGGCCGCATCTAGCCCCTGAGCCTGAGGTTCCCCATCCCTGCCCTAAAGGAATGTGACGAGACTATTTAGATGGCACCGGTCAGCTCTTAGGTCTCCATTTTTATTCTACTCTCCTTGGTTGCATGGTGCCTGTTGCCAATAATCTGACATAATTACTTCCTAAATTGACACTTGCAATTAAGTTTACAATTTTTTAAATTCCATGTCACAGTAGTGCCACTAAAATCGGTACATACAGAATTTGGACATTTCTTCTCTAGGCAAATGAGCCATAAGACCATGTATTATCTCATTCTTGACGGAGTAAGTGCCAGATGCTCATCTGATGTCTGCTTGTCTCCATTAAAGTCAGTGGCATTGTGCTCACTGGTGCTATGCTGATGTACATCAGCTGAGGTCCTGACCTCTAATTTTTACATTCAAAATTTTCTTGGCTTCACTAAATGGAACATAAACCTGTGTCCAGCCAGCGCTATCTCTGACTTTAAATTTCCTATTGCTACATTCCATCACAACCAGTCTGTTACCTGAAGGTGCTGACAATCATTCTGCAAGTACTGGCTTCAGATCTCTCTTGCTTAATCTCCCAGGGTATGTCTACACTACCCCCCTAGTGTAGACATACCCCCAGTGAGGACAATGGAGTCTACATGTACATGCTTTCCAGGGATCTCAAATTTCATTACTTTGCAACCCACTTCTGACAACAGAAATTGCTACAAGACCCCAGGAGAGGGACTGAAGCCCGAGTCTGCCCCAGTCCCGCTGCTCTGGGTGGGGGCAAAGCTCAAGAGCTTCAGTTCAAGGCAGAGAGCTTGTAACTTGAGTTCTGCTGCCCAGTGCTCGGTGCTGGCTTCAGCTTTGGCCCTGGGTAGTGGGGCTCAAGCTTTGGCTTTGGACTCGGCTACAAGCTCGGGGTATTTCTAGACTGCATCCCTCTGTCAGCAGAGGGATGCAGATTAGGCAGGTCGACATTGCAAATGAGGCAGGGATTTAACTATCCCGTTCCTAATTTCCATAAAAATGGCTACCGTGTTTTGCCGACTCAGCACTTTGTTGGCAAAAAGAGGCAGTCTAGGGGGAGATCTGTTGAGAAAAAGCCTTTTTCGACAGATCCCTTATGCCTCCTGTCGAAAAAGGCTTTCTTTCTCGACAGATCCCCCTCTAGATTGCCTCTTTTTACCGACAAAGTGCTAAGTCGGCAAAACACGGTGGCCATTTTATGCAAATTAGGCACGGGATATTTAAATCCCTACCTTATTTGCAATGTTGACCTGCCTAATCTGTATCCCTCTGCTGACAGAGGGATGCAGTCTAGACATGCCCTCAGGCTTCAGCTCTGGGCTCCCGCAAAACTAGCCCTGATGACCCATTAAAATTGGGTTATGACTAATTTTCCTTGTAAGCTGTGCACTTGAGTGGCTGCAGAGGGAGAGATTCAAATGCCACCTGGTTGATCAGCAGAGTGCCCACAGCTAGGTCTTTTGTGTCTACTGGTGGTGCAGATTTGTACATACCTTGGTGCACATAGAAAAAATTATTCCAAATAGGGATGGAAAAGATTAGAGGAAACATTAGTCATGTCCCACTTTGGGGTCCAGATTCCCAGCTGGAGAACTGCTGCCCTAAGCCAATATATGGTCCCATTTCTGCTTGTATCTGTAAAGCATCTGATTCATTGAGCCTGCTTTCTCTATGCTCAGCCTGTTTTTTGCTTAACAAGTGAAATATTTTTCAAAATCACTTGGTCTCAGAGGAGAAAATTGGTCCATGCATGACTCAAGACCCAGTCCTGGAGACTTGAGGCAGGCAAAATTCCCATTGACTGACTACAGATGAAAGGATTGAGACTATATTTTCTAAATTATTTTAACAGCATATTTGTGAATTTGATGCATTCTGTATGCACCAAAAATAGCTAAGGGATTAGATCATGGGAAAAAGAAATGAGAGAGAGAGAGAGAGTGCACAAAACCCAGCAATTTTTTTCCAACTGTGATCTAGCTATTCCACAGTTTGTGGAATCATGGAGGCAGAAGAGACCCATAGCTGCACTCTTGGCATAATTTCATTATACTTTCATTTTATCTATTGGAAATACAACCTAACTTTTAGCTTCAATTCTGGACTAAATGCATTCTTTTTTTAAATTTATCAATATAGAGACTACGTCTTTTCACTTAAGAGTGTTACTGTGTTTCTGATCTTATCCCTTTTGTTACCATATTATGACTGTCCATGAGGCATGAACTAAAAAAAAAAAAGTGTGTCAATTTACAGTGCTACAGGAAAGATTTGCCACACTAATAATTCATTTCCTCTAAAACAGAAAAGTATGTGATAAACAGGAACTGAAAACAGTCACGTGAGAGTTTCTGAAAATGTGTATGGGGGTAGGGAATAGTCAGGGAAAGAACTAACAAGTAGAAAGAGGGTAATTCAGTCCTGAGAGTCTGCTCTTCTAATTCTATTAAAGTAAATAGAGATGTTTGTCTTTTTCAGGAGAGAAGAATTGAGCTCTTCAGGCCCTGATCCTGGATTGAGCTTTGTGTAGCCAGACCCTAACATCTACATAGGGCCCATTAATTTTAATTCAGTGAGGTTTTCCACAGTTGCAGGCCTTCCTGCACAAAGCATATCACAGTATAGGGCCCATAGATGCAGTCACATTAATGGCAGTAGTTGAGTTAATAGCAGATGAATCAGGATTTGGATATACACCGAGGCTGTGTCTACACTGGCATCCCTTCCGGAAAAGGGATGCTAATGTAGCACTTTGGAATAGGCAAATCCGCGGGGGATTTAAATATCCCCCGCGGTATTTGCATTAACATGGCTGCCGCTTTTTTCCGGCTTGGAGATAAGCCGTAGAAAAGCGCCAGTCTAGACGTGATTCTCCGGAAAATAAAGCCTTTTCCGGAGGATCTCTTATTCCTACTTGAAAGTACGTCTAGACTGGTGCTTTTCTCCGGCTTATCTCCAAGCCGGAAAAAAGCGGCAGCCATGTTAATGCAAATACCGCGGGGGATATTTAAATCCCCCGTGGATTTGCCTATTCCAAAGTGCTACATTAGCATCCCTTTTCCGGAAGGGATGCCAGTGTAGACACAGCCTGAGATTAGGACTAGATTAGATGTGGCCCTATTGGAGAAAATGAAATTAGCAGCCTTTGCTTCAGTTCTTGAGAGCTTTTGCCTCATGCATCTCAAATAAAGGTCAGTAATTATACTGAAATATCCTCATGCCTGCAGTTTACACCATACACACTTCTGCTGAATGCTCCTCCAGCTACTACCCTATCATTCTGCCTCATCAATACATGTTACATACATTCAGATTAATTGATGCTGGCTTATCAGTTTACTGAGGTTTCACCATCACCACTTTTGATTACAGCCACTGTCTTTATAGTGTTCACCATCCAATTTACCCAGAATAGTCTTATTTTGCCAGGGCAAATTTAAATTTAGTGTAAGCAGATGCTGATGCTTTTGGACCGGAGTTAAACTTGTCTCCTCCTATTCACCAACCAGGGCTTCCTCAGCACAGTAGAAAATCCTGTTTTTTTTACATAACATTTAGATCTTTTCTTGAGCCCAAAGAGAAATTATCTTGTCCTAATTTACAGTAACCAGGAATGCTTGGGCTCAATGTACTGTGACCCAGATTATTAGCTCACAGGCCAGGCATGGCTTTAGACCATTCAATAGCTTTATGAGTGACATCTCTCAAGAGCAAAAACAGCAAGTAAGACCTTATTAATAATACAGTTCTTTGTAGTTCTGCAGAGGACTTCAGCTGGAATAGAGAACTAAAGGTTCAATGTTTGGGTCCCTCCAGGAAAAAGCAAATGTTGATTTTTTTTGTTTCCTCTTGAAATTACAAACTTTCAATGACTATGAGCATTCATTGACAAGGTCTTCCTCTCTCTGACACATTTGTGATGTTCCTAGAAAGCTTTGCACTTTGTTTATAAAATAACATGATTTTTAAAATGATGATACATTTCCCCAGAGCATCATGATGTGCTGTTTTGGTTAGTCAGCATTTTGGGGGCACAGTTTTAGTTTCTGAATCTTATACCAATCTTCGTGAAATATCACTTATATCAGATGAGGTTGAAAACAACATTCTTTACCATTTTGGGTTGATTTTCATTTTTTTCTGTTTATGGCTCCTCTTGGATTTATTTGTTGTGAATTTTTCCCTTCTGTAAAGTCTTTCTTTCTTCTCTCGCTCTGAAACATTTTCTAAAACTCCACATCCTCCAGCCTTTGAACTGGACTGCTGAGAATATTGAGAAAATTATACTTCTGCATTTCAAAGCACATGAACATTTCTGAGTTACAAAAATTAACTGATTAGATTAATATAATATTGTCTAAATTTAAAAGCATAATAATCTTTGATACCAAATTCCTTTTGTATTTCAAAAAGTTGTATATGATGTGGGCTTAAATTCATCACTACCATATTAACCATAACATTAAAAATAAAACAAGTTTAATATTTTTCTGGCCCCGTGCAAAAATATCATATATATTCTCTAGTACAGCCCTGCTGGGTGTGAGGTTGAAGTTAACCTCACAGATTCTTCCAGGAACTGTATATCTCTTGAACTGATTAGTTACTTTTAAACTAAAAATATCCTTCAAAATCTTAAAAACATTTAATAAAGTGTAATCACAAGTGTCTCTGTTAAGATTTGAGTCCATCCTCGGGAAAGATATGTATATATATCTTCACTATATAGGGTACATCTAGACTTCTTTCCTCTTCTGAAAGAGGAAATGCAAATGAAGTGCTGATTAGCATATTCTTGCACTTCATTTGCATATCCTTTTCTGACCCTTTTTGTGGAAGAGGTTTTTTCACCCAAAAACGCAATCTAGATGCGGTGTTTTCACGAAAAACAACAACCCTTTTTTGAAAGAACCTGTAAACCTCATTTTTTGAGTAATACAGATTATTTCAAAAAAGGGTGTTTTTTTGTGAAAGAGCCATGTATAGACTACGTTTTTTGGCAAAATAAACCTCTTCCGCAAAAAGGGTTGGAAGAGGATTTGCAAATGAAGTGTGAGAAGGAACAGATACTTACATCGTAACTGTGATTCTTCGAGATGTGTTGCTCATGTCCATTCCAATTAGGTGTGTGCGCATAGTGTGCATGCACCGTCAGAAGTTTTTCCCTCAGCAGTACCCTTAGGGCCAGCGGGGAGCCCCCTAGTGTGGTGCTGGTATATCGGCCCATATATACCCCTATTGGCCCCCTCACCCACTCAGTTCCTTCTTATTGGAATACTCCGGAGAGAGGGGGACGAGTGGGTACTTAGAATGAACACGAGCAACACATCTCGAAGAATCACAGTTACAAGGTAAGTAATGGTTCTTTCTTCTTCGAGTGGTTGCTCATGTGCATTCCAATTAGGTGACTCCAAAGCAGAACCTATGGAGGAGGACCAGATGTTGAAGCTACAGAGGAGTGGAGGACCATCCTGCCCAGAGTAGCATCTTCCCTGGCTTGATGCGTTAGCGCATAGTGATTGGTGAAGGTATGGACAGAGGACCATGTCGCGGCTCTGCAGATGTCCAGGATGGGGACCTGTGCCATGAAAGCAGTGTAGTGCACTCTAAGGGGTGGAGCCGGTACGCCCACTAGGGCATAGCACTCCTTGATCCTGGAGGAGATCCACTGAGAGGACACAGGTTGGCCCCTCGCCCGTTCGGCGATGGCCACAAAGAGTTGCGGTGACTTCCTGAATAGTTTTGTCCTGTCTAAATAAAAGGCTAATGCCCTGCACACATCTAGAGTGTGTAAAGCATGGTACGGGGGGAGTCCCACACCGACACCGGTACGCTTTGAGGACCTGGGTGCCGACTCCGGCGCTGGTACCATCCAGAGAGCCGCCTCCATACGATCCATTGTTTACAGCCAAGCACTGAGGTACAACCGCATATGCTCCAACCCCTCAGACAGAGACCTACACCTACAAGATCTTCAACAAGCATTCTGTAAACTACGATACCCACACGAGGAAGTGAGGAGACAGATTGAGAGAGCCAGACGTGTACCCAGAAGCCTCCTGCTACGGGACAAGCCCAAGAAAGAAACCAACAGAACACCACTGGCCATCACCTACAGTCCCCAGCTAAAACCTCTCCAACGCATCATTAGTGATCTTCAACCCATCCTGGACAATGATCCCTCGCTTTCACAGGCCTTGGGAGGTAGGCCGGTCCTTGCCCACAGACAACCCGCCAACCTGAAGCATATTCTCACCAGCAACTACACACCGCACCATAATAACTCGAACTCAGGAACCAATCCTTGCAACAAACCTCGACGCCAACTCTGCCCACATATATACACCAGCGACACCATCACAGGACCTAACCAGATCAGCCATACTGTCACTGGTACATTCTCCTGCACATCCACCAACGTAATATATGCCATCATGTGCCAACAATGCCCCACTGCTATATACATCGGCCAAACAGGACAGTCCCTACGTAAAAGAATCAATGGACACAAATCTGATATTAGGAATGGCAACATACAAAAACCTGTAGGGGAACACTTCAATCTTCCTGGACACACAATTGCAGATCTAAAAGTAGCCATCCTGCAGCAAAAAAACTTCAGGACCAGACTTCAAAGAGAAACTGCTGAGCTACAGTTCATCTTTAAGTTTGACACAATCAACTCTGGATTAAACAAAGACTGTGAAGGGCTTGCTAACTACAAAAGCAGCTTCTGCTCTCCCCCAGACCAGCTACTAGAAGTGGGCCTCATCTTCCTTGATTGGATCCACTTCATCATCTCCAACCTGATTCTGGCCTGCATATTTATACCTGCCTCTGGAAATTTCCACTACATGCATCTGACGAAGTGGGACTTTGCCCACGAAAGCTTATGCTCCTACACTTCAGTTAGTCTATAAGGTGCCACAGGACTCCTCGCCGCTTTTGCAGATTCAGACTAACACGGCTACCCCTCTGATACTTGCCTCCATAAGGATGATCTTAAGACATGACTCTCTCGCATTTTGTTCGTGGCTTGAACGCCTTGCAGATCTTGCAGGCTTCAGCAAGGTGCATCTCTCCCAAGCACTTTAAACACAAAGAATGAGGTTGCCTCAAGGCATAGGCTTGTGGCACTTTTTGCAGGACTTAAAGTCTTGTGGTCTGGACATGTCCTGCCGCGGGCGCACGGCGTGCCATGGTGGGAAACATCAATGAAAACAACAAAGAACAACAAAAGAGTCTTTAACTTAACTGTAGGTACTTACATTAACTGAAGAAACAGAAAACAATACTGGAGACAACCATTGCTAGAAGCACTGAGGATTGATCCAACGACCGTCATGGTGGTAAAAAGGAACTGAATGGGTGAGGGGGCCAGCAGGGGTATATATGGGCTGATATACTGGTGCCACTCCCGGGGGCTCCCCTCTGGCCCTAAAGGTACTGCTGAGGGAAAAACTTCCGACAGTGTGTGTAGGCTGCATGCACACACCTAATTGGAATGCACATGAGCAATCACTAGAAGAATATGCTAATCAGTGGTTCATTTGCATTTCCTCTTTCAAAAGAGGAAAGCAGTCTAGATGTACCCTATATATTACTTCAAAAAACTTAAAAAATAACAAATGGTCCTGCAAGGGAAAGCAAAATACTTTTTACTGTAAGGACAGAGTCTGTCCTTTTTACAGAAAAATATATGCTGGACTATAGAAATCCAAAGACTATAAAATTCAAGGTATATAAAGTTAAAGAATGCTTTTCTGGCTAAGCAAATTTTCATGCAATGGGATATACTTCCACAAAGTAAGTTAGTAAAACCTGTTTATTTTGTATCTCCAATCACCTGAATGTCCCTACGCATGCAATTCTGTTAAAGTAGATTAATTCAAGGTTCTCAGTAATCTGTCACAGAATAGGATTATACACATTGTAATAATATGCCTCTTAATCTTCACTCTCCTATTCTTTCTAATTAAAAAGTATGCTTACAGAACTGTACCCCTGTTCTGAAATAGGGAATAGAGTTCACAACATTACCTTCTGTGGCTGCTCCTCCTGTGAAAAGGATGAAACCAATGTTTTTAAATTACCAGTGGTCAAACCACAGGTCACAGTCTTGTTAATATTTTTTGTTTTGATAAAAGAAAAGTCACATTTTGACAATGTTCTTTCACTACCAGAATTTTTCTTACAGATGTGCAAGGAAGAGTAAGCAGAGTCGGCCTTCTCCTTTTGCTCAGCAGGCAGAGGAAGGCTTCTGGTTAAACAACACCAAGTTAATTGAGGCTCAGCATTTAATGATGGGAAGGAGCCCTTTGTGCTTAAGATCCTTGCATTTCCCGAGAGACAAGTCACGCTGACTTGGGACAGTGCAGGGAGTTCCTTATGTTGACTACCGAGGGCGTGGCAATAAAGTGTTCCAAAAGAATGGCAAAAATAATTGGACTTGTCCTTTGAGCACACAGAATACTGTAAATCCTGCAAGCCTGGTGAAATGTCTTTAAGAATGCTGGAAGAGCTACCATCTGTGTCCCATCCCATTATTTTCTGTTAAAAGTATTTGCGCAAACTCATGCCAGTCTAGACACAGCCTCAGTGGATAGCAGAAGAGATAATAGTTTGGATTTTTAGGCACAATTGCCTCCCACCACATCTTTGTCAATCTCAGTAGGGTTAAGCAAAGGCCCAGGTGGGACAAAACAATGGAGTGCACCATTAGAAAAGAACAAAAGAGACCAGATAACAGTGATGGAGGCATTGGAGAATAAGGCAAATTGAATTTATGAATTCTCTCCTGGTAACACCTTTTCAGAATGATTTAATTAGAAAATACAATTGTTGTCTTGACCTGTTAGTCATTGTTCATTGTACTTTTGAAGTTTCAGATTACAATGCAGTTCTTAACCATGTGCAAATAGCTAAAGAAAAATTTAACGCTCCTGTATTGTGCTTTGAAAATTGGTAATATCCCATGGAGCACTCAGACAATAAACTGCAATAGTTATTTCATTTAAACATGGCTCAGATGGTGGCTTTAGACACAATCCTGTGCAGAGGGTGGTGCTTTAGCTGTGCCATCCCAGGGCGCAATTCTATTAAGTCACCCTTCTGAGGCACAGCTCTTCCCCCTACTTTTTCCTTCCTACTGGCCTATACCAGCAGCAAATTACAATATCTCTTACACCAGCTCCACTGCACTGGCCAACAAGTGCAGGAATGGGAATGGGAAACAGGAGACATCAAGGTTTTTTTCTGATCCTTGCTCTTCTTCACCTACTGCCTGCCCAGCTGTTCCTAGAGGGGGAAATAAGGAGGTTTGCAATGAGCAGAGTCAGGAGAACCCATGCATAGCTACAAGGAGAAATCTTACTTCAATTTCTTCCTCTATATGGGGTATGAAGGCCATACCATCAGCTCTTGGCAGAAGCTTTCAAAGTAGAGGGAATTTAGTTGTTCTAATTTCTTACTCCTGCCTATATAAGGGTTAATCATGTGCTTTTTAAATTCCTTGCTGGCCATGCGAGTGATGTGAACAACTGGCTTCTAGAAAATGGATGAAGATTATTAATTCATTTTACACAGGTGACCAAAAAGACATAAGTCAAATACCTGTTGTAACTACTATCATATTGGATCAAATCCACAGGTGAAAGATTCCTTATCCTATTACTCTTCTCCAATGAGTCATTTTTCAAACTTGTCAGTTAGTTAACTTAGATCCAGTATGTAGAACTATTGTATTAGGGAGAGTGGAAAAATTAAATTTTCCTTAACTTCTGTTTTCAGCTCGTGGTGTGATTTTTTTTGTTTGTTTGTTTTTTTTGTTCTTGGAAATATATTTTATTTTATTAGGGATGACACCAATTGCGGTGAAAACAGACAAGAGAGACTTTATATCATGAGTCTGAAGCAACTGCTCAATGATTCAAAACTCAAATGTAACAAGAAAGGAAGACTCACAAGAAAGAAAAATGTATGCAGCCACAGTTATGGGTAGAGCTGTGTAGAACTAGTTGGTCTCAGTCCATAGGGATTTGTTCAAACCCTTCCATTGATCTGTGAGGACTCAGAACTGTTGGCTCATGTTTAATGATACTCAAAGGCTGAAAGTGAAAGTACAGAGTTTCAAGTTACATTATCTCAAAACCATAAGGTGGACCTCTGTCATAACCCAAATTCCTCCAATTTTTGGAGTAAAGGGAAGACAGATTTGAACTTTGCAGTTGATCCCTTTTTTGCATCAAAATTCTTTGTGCCTGATTTTTCAGATCCTTGTATTTTGAGAAATCATTTACATTGGTTCCTAGAGGTCTTGACCTTTTATTAAATCCAGACAAGCTTTTTACCCAATCTCTTTATACAGATAAATAAGTATAATAGAGCAATGTACTAAATAACTAAGTCCCAGATCTAAAGCGGGCATTAAATATTGGAGAAGAGGAGACAAAAATTATTCAAAGGTTAGAAAAAAATATAGTGAAACAGAAGTTACAACTTACAATTGGAAAAATGGTGCAAATTTGAAACTGTGTGGGTGATTAACCACTGGAAAAAAAACATCCCGGGAAAGTGATGGATTCTCCATCCCTTGAAGTCTTCCAGTCAAGATCAGATGCCTATCTGAGGTAAGCTTTGGTCAAACATGAATTATTGGGATCAATGCAGGAATAACTGGATAAAATTCTATGGTCTGTATTGTAGAAGGGGTCCAACTGCATGACCTAATGGTCTCTTGTGGCGTTAGAGGTCTGTTAACGTGGTGCCTCAGGCCTACTTTAGGTTTTGATGCACAACTTTTACTTTAGCCTAGGTGTGTTGAAAAGAGCTGAAGTTATTGGAGAACTTGTTGAGGAACCTGCACTAAGTTTAAGTTTGAAACAAATGTCAAAACTAGGCTAAGCTTCAAAAATTTCTCACTGCTCAAATTCTGCACCTACTCTCATGGACTATTGGTTCTGTAATATTAACTAAATGTATTTTAGGGAAAAGCTGGTTTATATTAAAGAAGGCCTGATTCAAAATTTGAACTGAAATAAAACTATATTTGAGATCCTGTTAATTGTTCTGTTTTGGGGGTGTTTTTTTTATTAATTATGTTCCAACTGCCTGCAGTCCGTGCCAGAATTGTAAGCAGCCCTGAAATAGCACAGAAGACTATTGTCCAGCCATTCCTAGCCAAACCCAAGCATGGAAGAATTTCAAACCATGATAGAACCAGATGCTACAAATCCCCTAATACAATTTGCAGACCAAGGAAGCCAGTTAAGATTTTCCATCATCAAGGTGTTTTCATGAAAAATGACGTTTCCTTCTCATTGAAATTGTCTATGGGAAATATTCTTTTTTTTTCTCAAATTTTTCATGAGAAAAACCAAAAAAAAATATTTATGTGCAGGTAGTTTGACCTCATTTGAAGTATTTTAGTTTCTTGAAACTACAGGTTTTTGTATGTTGCCATTCCTAATATCTGATTTATGTCCATTGATTCTTTTACGTAGGGACTGTCCAGTCGGCCAAGCTGAGTTACAGTTCATCTTCAAGTTTGACACAATCAACTCAGGATTAAACAAAGACTGTGAAGGGCTTGCTAACTACAAAAGCAGCTTCTGCTCTCCCCCAGACCAGCTACTAGAAGTGGGCCTCATCTTCCTTGATTGGATCCACTTCATCATCTCCAACCTGATTCTGGCCTGCATATTTATACCTGCCTCTGGAAATTTCCACTACATGCATCTGACGAAGTGGGACTTTGCCCACGAAAGCTTATGCTCCTACACTTCAGTTAGTCTATAAGGTGCCACAGGACTCCTCGCCGCTTTTGCAGATTCAGACTAACACGGCTACCCCTCTGATACTTGCCTCCATAAGGATGATCTTAAGACATGACTCTCTCGCATTTTGTTCGTGGCTTGAACGCCTTGCAGATCTTGCAGGCTTCAGCAAGGTGCATCTCTCCCAAGCACTTTAAACACAAAGAATGAGGTTGCCTCAAGGCATAGGCTTGTGGCACTTTTTGCAGGACTTAAAGTCTTGTGGTCTGGACATGTCCTGCCGCGGGCGCACGGCGTGCCATGGTGGGAAACATCAATGAAAACAACAAAGAACAACAAAAGAGTCTTTAACTTAACTGTAGGTACTTACATTAACTGAAGAAACAGAAAACAATACTGGAGACAACCATTGCTAGAAGCACTGAGGATTGATCCAACGACCGTCATGGTGGTAAAAAGGAACTGAATGGGTGAGGGGGCCAGCAGGGGTATATATGGGCTGATATACTGGTGCCACTCCCGGGGGCTCCCCTCTGGCCCTAAAGGTACTGCTGAGGGAAAAACTTCCGACAGTGTGTGTAGGCTGCATGCACACACCTAATTGGAATGCACATGAGCAATCACTAGAAGAATATGCTAATCAGTGGTTCATTTGCATTTCCTCTTTCAAAAGAGGAAAGCAGTCTAGATGTACCCTATATATTACTTCAAAAAACTTAAAAAATAACAAATGGTCCTGCAAGGGAAAGCAAAATACTTTTTACTGTAAGGACAGAGTCTGTCCTTTTTACAGAAAAATATATGCTGGACTATAGAAATCCAAAGACTATAAAATTCAAGGTATATAAAGTTAAAGAATGCTTTTCTGGCTAAGCAAATTTTCATGCAATGGGATATACTTCCACAAAGTAAGTTAGTAAAACCTGTTTATTTTGTATCTCCAATCACCTGAATGTCCCTACGCATGCAATTCTGTTAAAGTAGATTAATTCAAGGTTCTCAGTAATCTGTCACAGAATAGGATTATACACATTGTAATAATATGCCTCTTAATCTTCACTCTCCTATTCTTTCTAATTAAAAAGTATGCTTACAGAACTGTACCCCTGTTCTGAAATAGGGAATAGAGTTCACAACATTACCTTCTGTGGCTGCTCCTCCTGTGAAAAGGATGAAACCAATGTTTTTAAATTACCAGTGGTCAAACCACAGGTCACAGTCTTGTTAATATTTTTTGTTTTGATAAAAGAAAAGTCACATTTTGACAATGTTCTTTCACTACCAGAATTTTTCTTACAGATGTGCAAGGAAGAGTAAGCAGAGTCGGCCTTCTCCTTTTGCTCAGCAGGCAGAGGAAGGCTTCTGGTTAAACAACACCAAGTTAATTGAGGCTCAGCATTTAATGATGGGAAGGAGCCCTTTGTGCTTAAGATCCTTGCATTTCCCGAGAGACAAGTCACGCTGACTTGGGACAGTGCAGGGAGTTCCTTATGTTGACTACCGAGGGCGTGGCAATAAAGTGTTCCAAAAGAATGGCAAAAATAATTGGACTTGTCCTTTGAGCACACAGAATACTGTAAATCCTGCAAGCCTGGTGAAATGTCTTTAAGAATGCTGGAAGAGCTACCATCTGTGTCCCATCCCATGATTTTCTGTTCAGTGTCCCCACTAGAAGTTGCCCCTTTGCCTGATGAGGATGTCATTATTAAAGAGTTATTTTCTGAGTGAAGGTGGCGTAATACCTGATTCTCTCCTTTGATGTCTGACGATATGAAAAAGCCACCTGTACACATAGAAGAAAAGCGTACTTTCTTTCCTGTAGTTTGTGCAGAGCAAACAGTTGTACTTATCCACTTTTTGTCTGCTTGCATTTGACTACTTAAGTTATCTTTATCCTCAGTGTCTTTCCAGGCGTCTTTCGTTATCTCCTTATGCCTGCAGCTTTGGTTCTGAAAGATGTCACCTGTCTTTGTTGAGATGTTAATTATTGTTGAGTTGATTGGTGAACAAGGTAACAGAGCCTTCCAGTTTGTATGTACACCCCAGCTTAGTCCTACTGCTCTGGTCTGGTGTCTCAGTTCAAACTCTAAAGGGGACAAAAACACATCACTAGAATCAGTGCTGACTGACCTGCTGTTGATAGTGTAGGAAGCTTTGGTTAGCGGAACTGGTAGAGAAATAACAGGCATACTCTCCGGCCCTGGTCTCATTAAAAGTGGCAAGTCTGTAGTATTCTCTTCTTGTGGTAATTTGAGGATGTATTTTGGAGAAAATGCACTTTTTTTTAGAGGGGAAGTTACCAGACCAAACTCCAAATTTTGAATAGTGGAAGACATGCCAACATCATCACCACTGTGAAGTGACACTCTTGCTCCAACTGTCACAGGACATGTTTTGGCTTCTGTAGCTGTCACCTTGTCTAAGGCAGAAGAACTACAATTACCTCTCTCTAACTCAGGCACCAGACATTCAGAAAGTGAAGCCATTGAGACTTTTGCTGATTGTAGAAGAAGGTTAGCAGAGTTGTCATTAGAATATATGGGTCCTATATGGGGTTTCAGTGTTTTCTCATATTCCATGCTTTTAGCACAACCGATCGAGTCATTAAGGTATGAATTTAAATTCTGCTCTCCTTTGAGTGACTGTTGAACTAAAGCTGCGGAGGCAGCATTTACACTGTTACAGTCCGTTAATTTCACTGTTTCACCTACTGCATTATTTTCGCTACAGGGCCTGGGACTTAATTTTAGAGCTGGATTATTGCTGCTATTCAGCTCTTCAACTTTCAGTTTTTTTCTCTCTGATGGTAGCTTTTGGAATACCTGAGTGGATTCACCAGTGCTGCTGTTGTGCACTCTTAAGGGCATCTGTGCATGTTGAGAAGTTTCTTTACTACTGTGGTTTTCTCTGTCACTTTTTAAAATATTTTCACACTCTGATACAGGGGTATTGGATTCTCTCCCAGGACATGACTCTTCAAATTGATTATTATGCATTTGCAGACTATCAGCATGCAGCATGTTAGTGTTTAATTGACTAGCTCTCTGCTTAAGTTGAAACCTCATCTCATGACTGCTTAAAGCTAATAATGTATTTTTGCCACCTATATATTTATCAGAACTATGTTTGTTACTGCAGTCATGTTTTGGGGAAGTTTTGCTTATTACACTTATTTCAGCATTTACTGAATGTGCTGTTTCCATTAATTCTGTAAATCTTCCTGCTTTCTCCTCTGAGGAAACACTGTGCAGTATCTGATTACCAATGGGACAGTTTTTTGATTCCACAGTGTTTAATTCTGTGGCACAAATGGTTGAAGGGGAGGAAAGATTCCCACTTAAAGAGCTCCTGACATCTTTTGGCTGAGGAACCCCATCACCACTAGCTGCTTCCTTTGAATCAGGGGTGAAGTCTATATTGTCTGTGTCCTTTTTCCCACTTTGATTCAGTTTTTTGGAGGTTTGACTGCTTTTCATTTTTTGGTAGATTTTCTTGAATGTTTCATCACCATACATCTGCCATTTTTCCTGAGAGAACATTTTAAATTTCCTTTGAGTTGATTTCTTAGATTTAGCATTCACTACTTCTCCTCCAGCTTCAGGCTTTTTAGTGTCTTTTGTCTCCTCAGAGGTAGAATAATAAGAGACTGTGTTACTTAGTGGCAAATCATCCACTGCTGTTTGTCTGACAAGTGCACGAGGATGGCTGTTAGGAAAATCCACTGAACTTGTAGCAAGGTTGTTGCTATGCAATAAACTAGAAGAACCTGTATTCAGGGGCTGCCTCGTGAGAGATGGCACTTTTGAGCTACCCACTCTGTCATGTGCCATTCTTGTGCTCTCTACAAATGGCAAAGAATTGCTTCTTGTGACAGGCACACAGTCTATTGTTGTTGAGAATTGCGTGGGGACTGAATGAAAAAACAATGGCTTGGATTTTTCTATGGGTGTAAAGGTAGATTTTGCTGAGCAAAGGGCAAGATTCTTCTTCCTGTTTACATCAAGAGATTTGATGTCAAAATGGAAGGAATCTTTGTATGTGTAAGGCATTGGCAGATCAATACTGCCCTGCTTGGAAAGCACTGTTTTTCGGGGTCTAACATTGTCTAATTGGGTATCATCCACCACAGCTTTGTTATGAGAGATCAGTTTTGAGATATGCTCTTCCAGCTTCTTTTTCTCTAGCATCAAGGCTGTTGCTTTCTCAGCTGATTCTGGTTTTGCACTACTTCCTGCCGTGCACCTTAAGCCACTGAAGGCAGTTTCTTTTTCTAGCTCTGTACTTTGTTCACAAAGACTATGCAGGGGGCTGGAGGTCAATATTTGTTGTTCTGTACTATCAGAGCGTGACAGGTACCCAGAATCAGTGCTCTCGCACTTCTTTAGCTTATAGTCAGATGGTTTACAGTCCCATTGCCTATCTGAATAAGTTGCTTGCTGCCTCTGCAACTGAATATGTTTATTTGTTGTTGAGAATCTTTGCTCCTGCATTTTTCTTCTCTGATGTAGACTTTCTGCCAAAATTACTGGAGAAGATAGGTTTGGAGTGTCTTGTACTGGTTCTCTTTCAGTGACACCCTGACTTGTGTCTGGCCAGTTGGAATCACCAATTGTTATCCTCTGACTTTCTGATGTAAGCGATAAAGTATTGAGTGGTGGTAGTAAAATAATGGATGAAAAATTCTTAGTGTCCACTGCGGTACTCATCTCTGAACTGATTTCTTTATTCCCTGACCTCTGCTTTTCACAGATATTGTCTCGTTTTGCACCCTGATGTGACATGATGTCTGTTGCCTTCTCGTTCTCCTCTAATATGCCACTGTTGTCAGACTCTGAGGGAAGCCTGGTATTGTTGACATGTGTTTGGGTTCTTCTGTGTTTATATAAATTGCTTTGAGTTTTAAATGCAATACCACAAGTGGTGCAGGGAAAGGGCCTTTCCCCTGTGTGTGAGCGAATATGTTTTTCAAGGACACTTGGCTTCAGGCAGTCTCGTCCACAGTGTTTACAGATGTACTTCCCAGCATTTTTTGATTTTCCTGGGCTTCCAACAAGTACATTTTGACAGGAACTTGATGGTAAAACTGGCGAACTAACTATGTTTAATGTCAAAGTTTGCCCTGTTTGTTTCGGAACAATTGACTGATGCTGATCTATCCTCTCTGAATGCAGAAGTTGGTTTAGGATTAAAGGCATGTTGCTGTTGTCTAGATTTATGCTACTTCCATCAGGGACTAACTGGTTGTTTGATTGATAGCATCCTTGCTGGACAGGATGATACAGTGGTATTGTAAGGGCTTTCAGGTATATTGTCTGAGGCAAGGCCTGTGGCTGCTGA